GGGTTACGGTATGTAATGTGGGTCTAGTCCTTTCATTCGGCCTATCACGCAAATAAATAATTAATTAAGGAATATTACACAAAAAATAAGGAAAATATTGATCACTGATGGTTGATAAATGTGTACCACACACAAATCAATTTATATCACAACATTTCAATACATTTTCAGCTCTCGTAAGTAATAAAACTGGTTGAGAATATCACAATGTTCGGAGTTTTTAGCCGCCATGACTTATAAGGTTAAGATGGGAAGGTTGACTGACGATCATCAAATGGCCTGATTATGGCATTTATTGATTGGAATTACCTGATAATACACACTAGACGTAAAACTTACAGTTGCTGTTTGAATATTTTATGTTTATTTTAATTGTTTAACAACGTTTTCACAAGTAAAACATGGACCCAACTTTAGGGACACATTTCTTTTCTATGTTCCTAACTATGGCCCATGAAATTCATTTGACAGCATATAGCAATAAGAGTAACGTCAACAATGTTGTTTTGCATTTGGATGATAAGGAACGAACAGGAAGGGAGATTTTTTCTGCCAAACCTGTATAATGAACATCACAATGTTCTGATTTAGATATTCTGCGGTCAAAAGACGATAAGCGAAATTTTTAATTTTTAATTTTTAAATTGAGTGATTTAATGTAGTTTTCGTAAAATTTTCTCTAAGAAATGTTTTGAGGAATGAAGAGCATTAAGTTAACAGTGATAGTGATAAAAAAAAATACATCAGAAAACGTTACCAAGAGCGTTTTTTTGAGGATCAAACAAGATAGGACGAAGTTGCATCCATAAATAGACCCAATTTGGGGACAATAGACCCATATTACATACATTTCCCTCGTGAGTTATTGTCTTAAAAAAAGTAAGTTTTTCAACTTTTCGTGGTTTCTGATAGCAAACGACATGATAAGCATATCTAAGCATACCATTTAGCAGTAGAATATCGTTTGCAGGTAAATTCATTGATGAGTTATGATTAAAAACGTAATCGATGGCTGCATATTAGACCGAGGTTAGGGACGTATACCCTACCGTTTGGAGTATTATAATGATTTTTTTTTCTAATTTTGAGCAAATTATTGCCAGAACACTCTTTGAACTCTGTTTCTTGTTTAATCTTGATCATAATTATCTTGGAATTCTTCTTGAAATTCATCTGTAATTTTGCTTACGATCCCCATACAAATCTCCTCAGAATCACGTAGGAATTTTCCTTAAAGTTTTGTTTTTCACAGCTCCTTTTGAAATCTTCTAAAATTACCTTCAATTTAATTTAGAACTTGCAATCTTCTCCACAGAAATCCCTCCAAATTCATCTAACAATTTCTAAGGACTTCATGTCAGAAAATTCTCGAAATCTGCTCAGAACTTCTCCTTCGAAAACTATGCGGGAATCCTTCTCTATATTTGTTCAAGATATTGAAATTTTTCAAAGTCCCAGAACTAAGGAAAAAAAAAATAATTAAATGATTTATTTCAAGCTTGTAATTAACTTTATGAAAGATTATAGATTTTCAGTGAAGTTCCATAAGCTTCTTTACATGAGTACTGAGGAATGGAAGGAATTGCTAAGAACTTCAGTGACGCGTCACAAACAAACTGCGGGAATATAAGAGAAATATGGGGAACTTACTGGAAGCTTTACGAACCTCAAAGCGGTTCTATTAGTTTCCGAAAAACTGCAGGAACTTTTAAGAAGTTCCTAGGATTTTCGAAAAGTTTACCGGAGTCAAGAGAACTTGAGAACTTGAGGAAAATTGTGGAAACTTTAAAGAAGTTCTAAGTACCTCAGAAATGCTAGATCTAGAGATCTTTGGGGAATTTCAGACATCTTAAGGGCAGCTCCCATAAATTTAGTCCAGACTTTTGGAGCAGTTTAAAGATCTATGAGCGTGAGTGTAGAAAAAGCATAGTTCCATGATGTACTGAAAAAATATTGAAACTCTTAAGATGTTTTGATAATTTCAGGGAAGTACAGAGACCTTCAGAAAATTTGAGAAAACTTCAGAAATATTTCAGGAACTTCACAAAAGTCCAGAGAATTTCAGGCAAGTTTAAATATGTTTACAAGAATTCAATTTATTTCAGAGCAGAAAGAGCAGTTTAAATAATGTCAAGGAAAGAAGTTTGGTGGAACTCAGGGAATTTCCTAAGCTCCGAGAGAATTTCTGGAACGCACTAAAAATTATAGGAACACCCGGAAAATGTAAATGGAAATTTCATTAACTTAAAAATTTGCGAAAATTTTGCTAAGTTAATTAGAGAACATCAACAATGTTCCATTAATTTAAAAAAAATGCGAGAAATATTAAGAAATTAAGATATGTTTAGATAGTTTCATCATATTTAGTGAAGTTCCGAGTACTTCGAAGACGTAACTTCAGAAGAATCCCATTCACTTGAGGTAATTTGCAGTGGCTTACAAGAAGTTCCGTGAAATTATGGGATAATCAGAAAATTCTATGATTGATCTGAAAACTTCAGAAGCGTCAAGGAATTATGAATATATATATCAGAAAACTGACCGGAACATTAAACAAATTTAGAGACCTTCAGGTAAGCATAGAAAACTTCAGGGAAATCAAGATAAGTTCAGGGAAAATTAGTGATAAAAGGTAAAGCTCCGTGAGCGTAATGGTAAATTGTGGAAACTTCAAGGCAATTCAAGTAATTTCAGTAAAATTGCGCATTCTTAGCTTTCTTTATTAAAGCCTCTTTAATAAAAAAATAAGTAACTAACTAACTAAAAATACTGAGAAATTCAGGGCACTCCAGAAAACTTTAACAAAATTCAGAGATTTTTTGGGAAGTCTATAGACTATTGAAGAAATTATGAATTAGAGTCGATAATTTAAGGGCTATTCCATGAACTTAAGAAAAATCTTGAGAACTTCAGTAAAAATCATAGAACTGTATCAATTATTTCGTTTTGATTCCATGAACATTTCGGGTACTTGAAGAAGTTCCAGAAATATCAGAAAAATTTCGAAACCTTCACAGAAGTGCAGAGATCTTCAAACCTATTTCGAGAACTTCATAGAAGTCTATAGAATTTAAGTGAAGATCCGCAGGAACTTGTATGAACATTAGCAAAATGCGGGAGCATTTCAAAGAGATTAGTAAGCTCCAAAAGTAGGGCGAATTCCAGGGGGAGTTTAGTTCCATTCGTTTCAGAACATTAGCGGGAGTTATCAGAAGTATTTTGAGCATCAGGCAAAGAACAAAATAACTTCAAGGCAGTTTCACTAACTTCAGGAACATGTTGGGAACTTTAAAGTGGTTCTGAAGATCTTAGAATAGTTCATACCATTCCATTGTAGTTCTTCTCAGCATTAGAATTTAATTTTATTTGAATTTTCCTCGGAATTACCTTGAAAATCTGCCTACATAGGGGAAATGGCTCTAATGTTGGCCTATGGATCTAACATTGGGCCCATCGCTAAAAATCTGCTATTTATCAATTTTTTCTAGATGTACGCGTCATTGGAACGGTACTAATGGATATTTTTGGACTCTATTGAAAATTTAGTCTATTGCTGAATTTATGTATGGGCCCAAATTAGGGGCATTTAGGTCGATATTACATCCAGTTCCTCTACATAATTTTGCATTGTTCATACGCAGATTTTGATGAGTTCTCATTTTAACAAAGTTCTCTTAAATGAAAATTTCTAAAGCTACAACTCAGCTAGAAATGTAGAGTTCACATCGTATTTATCAAATCTAGATCGAGATCTAATGGCTATCATACATTGCAAAATCTAAGTCTCAATTACACTCAAAACAAAAGATATATAAATGTGTTTGAGTTTATTTAACTCGTCGAGCACCAAACTGGAAATGAACTCGACACATTTTCAAAATGATGTATCTCGGATTCTATTTATCCGGGTTCTGCTGTTTTTATATCGTTGGCACGTGCCCTCAACTTTGCATTAATTTGTTGGTCAGGCTATCTGTTTTCGTCATTGCACCGTAAAATCCTTTTTTTTTATTTTCCAAAGGCCAGTACTCTTTCAGAAGTGCAATAACAAATTAGAGTATGTAGTATTCTACTAAATATTTTTTATTAACTTTCAGAAAAAAAAAACACGAGGAGAAACCAATTAGATTTTACTTGCTATAACTTGGTTTGTAAGCCTACTAGACCGTTTGAAGGGAACGATACATCGACTTAAAAAATAGTGGTCACATATCGATACCTGGAGTTATAAGTTATAGTGATTTGATTTTCTGTGTCTAATGCACAGTAATCAATATAATTCATAAAATGGCCTTGTGTGTGAAGTCAATTTCATACAAATATGATTGAATAAGGGTTTCGATTCTTTTATTAAACTTAATTAATTTAACAGTTCTATAAGTGTAAAATACTTACTAGAAACCATTAATTCATTATCCAAAAGTGTGACCTATTTAGTATCTACTTCAAAATCTGCCTAGACTCTCGCCCACTGTGACGTTATCGTATACCAAGCGCACGTGTACTCGTATATGTGCTGGCGGGCTGCTAATGATCTGTCATACATATATGCAAACGTGTAAATAATAACAACTGCATGCATACGAATTACTCTTCTATAGATAATAGCTCGAAGACGGAAAAAAGGCAAAACACTTACCAAGTACAATTGCCGGCATTTAATCGTGATTCAGCCAGCGTCACCGGCGACGACGACGACGACGACGACGTGTGGTTGTGACCTTGCACCTCATTTTTTCTGCTTCTCGTCGTATGCCGGCGGCACGCGTAATCATCCCGGCGACGTCGTCGTCGTCGACGACGTTGTCTCTACACACATGAAATTCTCGACTGGTGGCGGCGGTGTGGTGCTGGGCTAATAATAATCGTAAGCCCGTGTGGAATTCCAGCAACGCGCGCCACCACACCAGTGAAAGCCCTACATTGTGCTATTTTTTTGTGTGCTGGCTGATCGTTGTTTTCATTTTTTCTCCTCTTTCTCTCCTGTTTTTTTTTTTCAGCAGTGCGGTGCTGCTACCCGCGCCCGTCTTGTGCTCGTACCCTATTAGTTGTTTTGTCCGCAACTAATATTGGCCACGGGAACGAAGCTACGCTGGTGGAACCTGGCAGCCACAATGTCGGTGCAGCAGTACTGTCTACGTTGGAACAATCACCAGCCGAACTTCATCTCCGTCTTCTCGACCCTGCTGCACAATGAGAGCCTGGTGGACGTCACACTGGCTGCCGAGGGCCGACAGCTGCAGGCCCACAAGGTGGTACTGTCGGCGTGCAGTTCCTACTTTCAGGTGAGTGATGGTGTTGTTGTTGTTATTGCTATAACCGTATTTTTTTTTTATTATTGCTGCGCAGTCAGTAGAGTTGCAGCGTGGTTTCGTAATAGAGGACTAATGGGCACCAGGAGAGGGCAAATCTGTTGGTACCTACTGCATTATAAATTCTGAACAATCGCACAGTGTCTGTGATGAGTTTGCGGAGAATCACCCAAGCAGGCAATGATGTTTTGAGAGTATATTACCTGGATTTTTTTTGTTAGAGGAATATGTTGGCATCAATGAAGCTAGAAATTTCGAAATTTCGTACTGATACACAAACTACTGAACTCATTTAGATTTGAATTCATTTTCGCATAAGCTTAGTAAATGCAGTAAATTTTCGTATAAAGATGTATAGAAATGCTATTGACATTTGAATCAGTGCTTATGAGGAGTACATCGTTCTGTTACGGTTTGTTTATAGTACATTTTTTAAACCTCAGAATAGAGAATGTTGATGTCAGGTGAAATTGAAATAGCTTATCATGTACGTAGAATATAGCCGTCAGTCTAATCTTACACGGCAGCAAAGTGTAGTATATATCAGCGGAGAAACCTCGAAAGCTACAGTAGTTAGGGGGCTCAGATAGCCTAGTCGGTTCAAGCACGGTAATACCAAATCGGAGACGAAGGGTTGGATTCCTGGTCCGTTCTTGGAAATTTTTCAGGTTGGAAATTTTTCGACTTCACTGGTCATGAGAATCATTTTGTGCTTGCCACACAATATTGCCATAGAAAGCTTTCAATCCATAACTGTGGAAGTGCTTTAATTAACAAACACTAAGTTAAGAGCAGGTGAAGAGAAACAGGGAGATCTCACTACTGGATCTCGAATCTTCGAAATGCATGTGCTCGGGAAATCACCAAAACCTAAAGGGATTTCAAATTCAGGAAATTTCGGTGTACCGAACATTTTCAGAACGCTGACAATATTACTGCCTCTATTCATAAACAGGCGGAAAAGATTGCTAAAATATTGAATTATGAAATGGTTCGAAATCGAAATGGTTAATATGCCATATAAATGAAGAATTCTCGCGTCACTTTTCAAAAGGTCCTAATGGCATCCAACAACACTTGTATCGTTTATTATAGTTTCATATACGATATTTTCGTGATTTAAATGTTCGATTCATGTATGGGCAGATTAAAATTCGGAACAGTAAGAATTCATGAATTATTCACAAAATTCGAGAACTCTTCAAAGTATGAAAACTTTGGAAGCATCGTAAAGTATAGAAATTTTTCACTAATTCATGGTTAATTAATATTCCTAAAGCTTCAGAAATAGCAGAGTGGGGGGCTCGGTGACCTAGTGACAACTGTTTTGCTTATTCAACTGAGCAGAAGAGCGGGGGTTAAATCACAGGCTTCTTTACAGTAGAGGTTGTCCACATTCCATGTGGATAGTTTTTTAGAGGTTTCATACCCTCGTCCTCCTACGTTGTTTATCATCCATACAAATAAAAAAAAAGTGCAATCCGTGAATATTTTCCAACGTCCTTTCCCCTCTAAACTGTCTTTTTCTTCATAATCGCATTTTAAGCTTATTGGTTATCGCATATAACCTTCTAGTGTGTTCTCAACTTAATGTTCTAGGTACATTTCCACAGTTATTGATTGAGAGCTTACGACGCCTGTACCATTGTTGCATTAGTATAATTGTGAGGCGTTGCATTATTTTTTTTAAGTTGAAGAGTTCCACACCAAAACTTAATTATATTTAAATGCAGTTCATGAAATTTTACCATTAACACCATGTGGAATTTATTGAGTGCAGGATTTCCTAAATTTTCTGTAGTACCTGTAATGTTTGGTACGTATTTCTCCAAGTACTGGTTGCTCTTAGAGTATCGAGAGTTTTTACAGTTCCGGGTGGTTTTTGAATTCCCTGTACTCTAGATTAACCTGGAAGCGTCAGAGCTTGCGGAACTCCTGTGACGTTGAGTATACTTAAAAATATATGGAACTCCACAATAAATTCTATGATATCATAATACTGACTCCAGAATTTCTTTTTTTTTTTTTTTCCTCTGTTCGGGACATAACACCACTGCGACCAGTAATTTGATCTATTGTAGTATATCCCGTGTCCTTAGTTTAGTGCATGTCGTATTACTCCATCACTATTGAGAAATGATGAAGTATTCGGTTTTGATACAGTTGTCATTCTTGCCTTCATCGCAAGGAATCGATTCTAACTGAAAGGTTCCGCTATTTATACCCTTCGGAGTTGGAACACCCTCCAAAGGCGCGCCCCTTTGTCAGTCAAAATTGGATTCCTTAACAACAAAAACAAGCTATGACACCGATAATGACCATGCATCAGAACCCTAGTCTTAACCACTTCAAACTAGGGAACAACGATTAGAAGATTAGGAATCACATAGATGAAGACTAACTAACTCATTTTTTCCATTGTTTCAAGATCATCCTCGGTCCAGGCAACCCGAGGACTTATCACTATCAACAAGGCATAAAAAGTAACAAGGACTAAGATGTGTTCCTTTGATTACTGAAAAATCCTGTTCCCTTAGTTTGAAGAAGTTAGGACTAGGAATCGGTGGTAGATCTTACATCCCGTAACGTACCACGAAAAGGTGATCTACCCACGTTACGGGGCAGTAGGTGCATAAGAACGCCTATCAATGGTTGTTGGGTTCTGCCCTGACCGGCGATTTGCGACCTCTGTGCACCTGAACTCCGATTCTTACCTCCACGCGGTGCCCGGTGGGATTGCTGGCGGTGATATTTGCCGTCAGTAATGCGAACAAGAACGGGGGATCATCGTTGTCACCAAAGCACTACTGTCAATTATCGGTAGTGCCCGTGATGACGATGACAGAGCAATAAGGTTATTGCCAACTCTCGAAGTAGCCCGTGATTATCGCTACCTGGGGATGCTAACCGGCTCGGTCTGGTTACGACTTGGCCGTCCTGAATGAACTATATCCACCTTCTCAAGGTGGTTTGTTTAAAAGGACGTTAATAAATGGAAGCACAGCTACGAACCAATGGCTCAATACTAGTTCGACCAGAATTTCTTTCACACCGAAAGTTTTTTTTTTAACGTAGACTACGCTTTATGGGCGTAAATTGAAAATCTAAAATTGCGACCGTCACGAAAAGATGTTAGGTTTTTAATGCTTATAACTTTGTCAAATGAAAAATGTCCAAATCACTTTTTTCATGAAACAAACGTTTTTCCTAACCCAGACGTCATAATCGAGTTCCACTTAGTTGCGCATAGTCCTGCTTGAACCTGTGAAGTTTTAAAGGAGCTCTGCTGTCACGGTTTCGTTCATTTTCGAATCGGATTATGATGAGTAACTATAATGCTTATTATCAAAACATTTAACAGGTAGTGAACCTCTATACTCTGATTTCGTCCTTGAATAACTTTTATAAATTTCAATGATTGTTGTATTAAGTACCTACTTATTGGAAACCAAACGTTTGATATGAGAAAAGTCACTTCTACTTCTACTGCATTTTGAATCAATATCAAGAAAAATACACGAGAAGTTCATTAAACAGCTTGACGTAGTCTACTTCAACCATGCGGAAGTGTCTGGTGCACAACCCCTCCAATTGTTTAAATTTTCATTAACTGGGTGAAATTTTGGTACTGCTTCTAGAACTCCCGTAGGTAGAATACATAAAAGAATTAATATATTTTCGGGCAAAATTAGATTCCTTGATGTTCTAAAACCCCCGTTCCCTCAGAAATTTTGAGATCCCAGATCACAAGCGTAATAGAATTTCACGATCCGGTATTTAAAGTAATTTTTAAAATAATTGACTTTTCGAAATTCTGAAATTTTACGAGATTTTGGAGATTTTTCATGGTTCGAAATGATGCGCATGTTCCCGATTTTCCCAGCTCCTCCACGCATCATACTGTTATCATATGAGCAATAATAAAAGATGAATAAAATAAATAAAACTTTCGCTGATTATTTACTCTTCTGCCAATTTTCGTGCCTATTTGTGAACTTGTTGGTCTTCTCGCGTTGTTCGCTGCTAGTCTCCTAAAAGTCTCCCATGTTATTACTGATATGTTCCACGACATTTCGACGTAATTCCATTCACTTTCTATGATGATCTTGAGTTCTTAGTTGTATATTATAAAACCGTAACACCAGTGCGGAAAATAGACAGTGTCCATCTCCGGGTATTTTCTTAACGGGCATCACTCCATTGTCGTATCGTATGTGCTCCATTTTGCTGCTCTTTCACTTTTTCTTTGTTGACTCCATGATACCGGAAAATATATATATACATTATTATCAATGCTGTCATATAACCACAACGGGATGGCCGTTCAGAATGGTTCAACGGATGTGAAATGAAGTTACATTTAAATTTAACACGATTTAAAGTAGTTCAATGCAACATTCATTTTTTTTATTTATAATAAACACATTTTGCAATATGTTATCTTATCTAATTTCTGGAATTGTTTACTTGTATTTTATACAAATAGTACCAAAGTCCATTATATTGCATCTTCAAGTGATCTTCGCAAGCGCCACATTGTATTCAGGCTCTTTGGAACTGCATGTGGTTAAATATGAAACTCGCCTTTTAAAGTGAATTGTATTTATTCTAAGAGTTCCTTAAGGCTTAATCTCAGAATTAGTTTGGGATTCTAACCAAGATTTCCTTGAATTTTCTCCGAGCTTTTTTTCATTTGTTTAGAAAAAATTTAGCATTTCATTGGGATTTGGAAATTTCTGTATAAACAATCTTCAAATTATTATGGGTTAAAACATTTTCATTATCCGTGATCTTCGTATAAAATTCATATTCCCGATAGCGTTTGAATAAAAACAAGCGGACTCGAGCTTTAAAAAAAAATTAAACATGGATTCGAAGTATCTCGAAACGTGATTTTGCAATCATTTCAACACTTTCGTTTTGACGGGAAATTTTTGAGATTCAAGCCGGAAAAACTGGGAAAACAAACCCTG